TTTGAAGCAGATGTCTGTAGTGCTATTTAAATAATAACTACTCTTGTATCAAAACAGGAACCTGGAAATGCTCAGCAAGTCAGACAGCATCTGGGGAGAGACAAACAGAGTTAATGTTTCAGGTCTGACAAATTCAGAAGAAAGGTCTTCAGTTTAAAAAGTTAGCCTGTTTCTCTGTCTACAGATGTTACCTGACTTGCTGACAATTACCAGTGTTTTCTGTTTTTATTTCAGATATCCAACATTTCTGCATTATTTTACTTACAGTCTTATAATTTGGTATCAATGGAGTGGGTGATATTCATAGGCATGTATGACTGGATAAGCTGATAGCAGTGTCAGATGAAGAAGTTAAACTGAAAATATTAAAGCGAATTCTCAGACACGGGAAACCAATGGAGGTTGATGACAATCAGGACATTGTGTGAGGGAGGACACAAGCTTAAATGTTTTAGATGAATTAGTATTTGTGGGAAACAGTGGAGTGGCCAAGAAAGTGATCATAGGAAAAATAACATTCTTAAAATAAATAATGGTATCGTTGTATTGTAGCTAGCAGTATGATGTTAGTGCTAGCTAGCAACTACACTTCTGGCTCTACAGTGGTCTTTATGAAAAAAAGCAGAACTGTGAGCATATACATAAATGCTCATATAAAGGTTTGCTCATTGCCGCCAAGGTTCCAGTAGAATTTTAAAGCACTTTTTGCACTAAAAAGTGTAGTCATTACCAAGATAAAACTGAGATCTTTATATAATTTCTAACAAACTTTAAAACAATGATGTTACACTGCAACTTGTAAGAATCTCAAACAGATTGAGATTTTGCTGAGGTACTCTCAAATGCTGGTTACAAAAATACTTAGTGCGCAACCACAAAATAGAGTTCAAGTGTGTTTTGTACATCAGTTTAAACACTGTCACATCAATGCAGAAAAAATAGTTTAACCAAACTGCAAAAAGCTTTTCAATTGTTACTTGTACTTGTAATGCTAGCAATATAACAACTGAATCAGATTAACGGATACCGGCCTGTCAAAATCGTACCAAAAGATGTTTCCACCATGTCAGTAGCAATTTAAAAAAAGCTCCATAATCATAGAAGAGTAAGGCACGCTGTTTTTAAGCCTTACCTGTTGCATATGAAGCAAAGCTTGCTCAGTTTCTTATAACTTCTGGCAAGTTGGGCCTGTGCTGAAGACTGATCACAGGAGTTCGAACTTTCTGCTTCATCTGAGGCTATTACAAAAGACTGTCAAACTACAACGTCATTAAATCCTGTTCTCAGCTGGTAGGAAAAAGAGATGCCAAAAACTGGCATATTGCCACTTTAGATAAACAGCAAGGGTTGAACTGAAAATGCCTGTAATGGGCTCTATGTTTAATAAGTAATGATGTAGTCTTTGCTGGTCAGAGTTTAATGATTATCCAATATTTGAAACATCTGGAAGAAAACAATGAAGAGGTATTCTATAACTTAAATGACACAAAAGAACAGTTCATATTCATGAGCACGAAACAAGTGCTAAATTTAATGATAGAATAGTGTAAGTGCAGTTGAATGTAGAATAACGGTCAAGCCCCATTTTGGTAATTTGTCCCCATTACACTATTGAATAGCATATATTATCAATGATGCCTGTTGATATTCTCACACATTTAGAACTGAGCGGCAAGATTCCAGGAATGCTCCCTCTTACCTTGCTTTGTATGTAGTGTATATAGTTGACAAAGGGTTCCCGTTCACACCTTTCTATGTCCTACTTTAACAGGACCTCACAATGAGGCGGCAGTAGTAAAAGTTGAAGAAGTCTACCTTCAGAGCAATGGAAGCGATGCCCACCACTGGCACAAACATTGAAAACAAAGGTGATGGGCAGCTGCTAGGTTCCTACATTGAAGTGTTGAATTAGATCAGCACCCTTCAACATGTCAGACACCAACAGTGGTGGAAAAGCAGGCAGTGCTCCAAGATATTACAATTATGAAAAGCGAGACTTTGCTGTGTCCCCATTATAAGTGATGGCAAATACAAGCAGTAGTAAAAGGTCTGCAACAATAATCTGATCACTGGATCAAGTTTGATCAGAGACAGACTGCAGCTGGAATGAGCTATCTATTTTGTTTTAATCCACCCACTTCAGGGGCCTGGAAGAGCCAAGCAGTGGCAGTGCTGCCAGGGAGAGTACAAGACTGAAAGAACACCATGGCAAAAACAGGGCCTTGCACTAAAAAGTCACCAATTGCTGCTTTACAGTCTCTCAAAGCAGCATGAAGACATAATACAGTTGGAAAGATGGTTCTGCCACAAGCTATGGTTGCAGTCATGATACTCCTCATCTATCACAGAAGTTTGCATTTGGAATAAACATGACATACTTTTGGAAAGAGATACCTTCAATGCAAAATCTGGCTCTTGGAGAAATTATTGACTAGGATGATAACACTGGACTGCAGAAACTTTCATCAATGGACACTTTCTACATGTTATTTGGACACAGATGGAGCAATTATCTGTTTATCTGTTGATAAACAACCTTACATGTCTGAGAGAGGTTACCTTCCATCTTCATCTGCCCAATTATTTGCCCTGGATGATGGAACCTTGTGACGAAAGCCCAGCTTCTGGAAATGCTATGATGCAAAGGCAGACGAATTGTGAAATACTAAACATTCTCTATAGCCAGCTATTTAAGTTAAGAGCAAAGTCGCCATAATTCCAGAGGGCTGCTCATGCATTAGAGAGATGGTTGGCAGTGAATTTAATCTGAGGGACCCATGCCTGATGTAGGGATCACATTAAGAAAGCAGGACCTACATGGTAACCTCAGCTAGTGCAGGAATTGAACTCATGTTGTTGGCATCACTCTGTATTGGTAACCAGCCATCCAAGTGACTGAGCTAACCAACCAAACTTGCTAGTCAACAGGAAAACTTGTATACCTCTCATCTTTCAGGTAAACACAGTTGTCAGCCAGTCAACGGCGAGTTTGGGTAGAAGTTCCTGAACCTCTTGTCAGGCCTCAGAAAGCTCAGTACTGTGTACCACGTCACACTCAAAGCAGATGCCAAACCCCTCTGTTTGTTCACACCCAGGAAAGATTCCATTTCCCACTTTGGATCAAGGCAAAAGAGGAGATTGAGACAATATTCAGGAAGATTGAGACAATGCTCAGGTCACTCAGCTAGCTACAAGGTATTCAGTTATGGTGTCATTTCACAGATCGCAGAGATTCATTCAAATGTGTGTCTTATACATTTGAACATTGCAGTGCAATGTGAAATAATTCTAATGGTAGCTGTGGATGAGAGCCTGGCTAAGCTTGCAAACAGCACACTCCTCACCAGGTTAGATACCAACAGTAGGTTCTGGAAACTTCTATGAAATGAAAAACTGTTCACCACATTCATTACATGTTACAGGTATTATTACTTTAACCACCTGCAAAATTGGCATCATATCCTCAGCCTGAGAGTTTTCAGTGGACAATGTCCAATATATAAGAAGGCATAGAAGACATGTCACATGGACAACATTCTTGACCACGGATCCACTAAAGGTCAACACAACCAGACAGTATGGAGAATAAAAATTGAAAAACCAGTTCTGAGGAAGGGTCACCGGACCCGAAACATTAACTCTGATTTTTTCTTCACAGATGCTGCCAGATCTGCTGAGCTTTTCCACCAACTTCCATCTTTGTTCCTGAAAACAGTGTGGAGAGTCTTGTTGCATAAGTTATAGATGCTATGATGACAGTTAATGACAAGTATGAGCTCTCCTAGATAACAATCAAATTCTTGAGCCATGTGGCTCAGGCAGTAGGAAAAATGGCAGTTCCAGAGAAGACAGAAGCTATCACGACCTTTCCACCACCCAAGAATACTGCAATATTCCAACAGTTCACAGGTATTGTGAACCAGAAAGGGGAATTTTTACCTCATGTAGCCCAATGAACCTCTCAGACAACTTTTGAAACAAGATCAGTTCAGGTGATGATATGAATATCAGCAACGCTCATTTGACCATGTGAAAAAAAAGCTCATTTTATCTGAGGCATTTGCAAATCATAACCCAGCTCTTCCAGCTGTAATAGTGGCAGATGTGACATTCACAGGTCTAGGAGCAGTCTTATTTCTGATTGAACATGATGGAATCAGACAAGCAGCTTACTATGCTTTCAGCACTCTCACAGACACAGAACAAACACATGTCTTTATTGAGAAGGAACCACTTGCAGTGAAAGAGTCACGTAAGAAATTCTTTGATTACCCTTTAGGTTTGCCGATCAGGATTGAAACTGACCAAAAGCCAGTGATGACTTTGTTACACATAAAAGAACTGGCAAAGAATCCAAGGATTCAATTTGCAGATGATAGAATATGACACAATCACAGAGTATGTAGAAAGAAAACAACAAAGTAACAGTGATACTTTATCAACACTCCAGATGAGGAGGAGGACAAAAAACTTCATTCATGCAGTTGAGAACTTCACAGCCTTAATCATTCACTATTTGTCAGACACCACGGAGAAGATGCAGGAAGTTTGGGAAGCTCAGTTATATGATGAACAATTTGCGAAGATGTGTGTGATCTACTTGGAGGTTTGACCAGAGTATGTTCCCAATAATCTAATCCTGTGGCAGTATTTGGAATAATGTAGTTAAGTCTGAATTGTCATGATTTTTTGCTGCATAACTGTGTACAATGTTGGTAGCCCACTCTTCCAGCATCACAACCCTCCAAGATCTATGTAAGTTCCTCCAAATCTGGATTTTCCTGTGGAAATCTTTCTCTCCTTTACAATATTCATATTGACCATATCTTCTTGACCAAGATTTTGGTCACTGAATTTGAATTTTGTCATAACTTGCTATTGCATAGGTTTTTTCTACCATCACTGTATAGAATGATTTCAGGCAAGTAAAGCTGGATGAGAATAGTAATTTTCTAACTACATTCTGGATTCCATTCACGAGACCGCATGGTTGTGCTTACCTTTTAGCATTTCCAGTGTTCCAGAAGTGTATCAACACAGACAGCACAAGTTAGTCAGTGATCTTCTCGGAGTGGGAGCTTTTTTTGGATAATCTGCTGGTCTATGTTTGTGAAAAAAAAAAGAAACAAGCAAATCAAAATCAGAATCTAGTGCAAATGCTGGACAGAGCTTACTGAATGAATTGGAAGCTAAATACGAAGAAGTTTCAATTAAAGATGTCTGAAATCAATTATGTAGTTTGTGTACTGGCTACAAAAGGACTTCATGTGGATACTGACAAGTTAAGAGCTGCTGCAGTGGGGCAGCAACCAACAGATGTGACATATAGGCCACTTCAATGCAACATCCTCAAACTGCTCCAATCTGTGTCTTGTAATGATTGTAACAAAATCAGCCAGGTGGACCTCATTGAATATGACTTTCCTGATTGGGGCAAACCCTGGCTGACAGATAGAAACAGGAGTGTCAGAAGTTCTGCTCACTTTGAGATCTGGCTCTGAGCGAGCTGGATCAGTGTCAAGGACTCTCCATGTATAAATAAAGGGTGACTTGGTGACGGGATACTGGCCTCTGGAGTTAGTTCATGTCTATTACTTCATTTGCAGAGATATCAACCATACATGACATATAAGGAAAACAGATGTGCATTGCCTATAAAGAAAGTTAAAGATGCTAAAACAGTGCGTGAACATTTCCAGAATCACTAAGAAGCAACAGCTTGCTACTTTCTGGAAGTCATCAATCCAGCAGAGACATTGATTCTGAAAGCCAATTGTCTTCCTCAAAGAAAGCCAATTCCCAAGAAGATGCAATTCTTGCAGGAAGTAGTGATGAGAGGATATCTGATAGCATTGAGACACACCTGTTGCTATGAGAAACTGTTGGATATATAAAGATGAAGTTAGAGCTCAAGATGTTATCTTGTATGAAGGAAGTAGAGTTATTATTCTTAAGAAGTTGTGAAAAGAGATGCTGAAGCATGTCCATAAAAGTCATCAAGGAAGTCAGTCTAGCCTGAGGAAGCCAAGAGGGTGCTCTACAGGCTAAATATGAGCAAAAAGACTAAGGAGTACATTAACCAGTTCAGTGGTTTAATGAGTTCCAAGGTAAGCCATAAAAAGCCACTTTTGACATGCAACATCCCAGACCATGGAACAAGTTTGGAGTAGATCTCTTCACTCTCACATGAACTGATTAACTCGTCATCATCGAGTACTATTTTTTTTAAAGTTACCTGTTAAGAGATGTTATCACACAAATGAGAGTCCAGAGACAGTATATACCTGTTAGGGTGAAGGACAAGGCTGGTCAGTATAGGGAATGCTGGATGACTAGAGAAATTGGAGTTTTGGTCAAGAAAAAGAAGAAAGTATATGTCAGGTATAGACAGCAGGGATCAAGTGAATCCCTACAAGAGTATAAAGGCAGTAGGAGAATACTTAAGAGGGAAATCAGGAGGGCCAAAAGGGGACATACAATAGCTTTAGCAAATAGGGTTAAAGAAAATCCAAAGGGATTCTACAAATTCATTAAGGACAAGAGAATAACTAGGGAGACAATAGGACACCTTAAAGAACAGCAAGGCTGCTTATATGTGGAACTGCAGGAGATAGGAGAGATACTAAATGAATATTTTGCATCAGTGTTTACTGTGAAGAAGGATATGGAAGCTAGAGAACTTGGGGAAATAAGTAGTGACATCTTGAAAAATGTCCATATTACAGAGGAGGAGGTGCTGGACATCTGAAAATGCATAAAGGTGGATAAATCCCCAGGACCTGACCAAGTGTACCCTCGAACTTGGTGGAAACTAGGGAAGTGATTGGTGGGCACCTTGCTGAGATATTTGTCTCATCGATAGCCATAGATGAGTTGCCGGAAGACTGGAGGTTAGCTAACATTGTGCCACTATTTAAGAAAGGTGGTAAGGAAAAGCCAGGGAACTATAGACCGGTGAGCCTAACATTAGTGGTGGATAAGTTGTTGGAGAGGATCATGAGGATTTACATGCATTTCGAAAGGCAAGAACTGATTAGGGATGGTCAACATGGCTTTGTGCGTGGGAAATCGTGTCTCACTAACTTGATTGAGTTTTTTTGAAGAAGCTACAACGAGGATTGATGAGGGCAGAGCAATGGACGTGATCTATATGGACTTAAGTAAGGCGTTTGACAAAGTTCAGCATGGTAGACTGATTAGCAAGGTTAGATCACATGGAACACAAGGAGAACCAGCCATTTGGATACAGAACTGGCTTGAAGGTAGGAGACAGAGGGTGATGGTGGGACGTTGCTTTTTAGACTGGAGGCCTGTGGCTAGCGGTATGCCACAAGGATCGATGCTGGGTCCACTGCTTTTCATCATTTATATAAATGATTTGGACGTGAACTTAGGAGGTATGGTTAGTAAGTTTGCCGGTGACACTAAAATTGGAGGTGCGGTGGACAGCGAAGTAGGTTACTTCAGAGCACAACAGGACATTGATCAGATGGGCTGATGGGCCAAAGAGTGACAGATGGAATTTAATTTAGATAAAAGTGGGGAAAAGGCAAATCAGGCAGGACTTATACAATTAACGGTAAGGTCCTGGGAGTGTTCCTGAACAAAGAGACTTTGCAGGTTCATAGTTCCTTGAAAGTGGAGTCGCAGGTAGATTGGATATTGAAGAAGGCATTTGGTATGCTTGCCTTTACTGGTCAGTGCATTGAGTACAGGAGTCGGGAGGTCATGCTGTGGCTGTACAGGACATTGGTTCGGCCACTTTTGGACTATTGTGTGCAATTCTGGTCTCCCTGCTATAGGAAGGATGTTGTGAAACTTGAAAGGGTTCAGAAAAAATTTACAAGGATGTTGCCGGGTATGGAGGGTTTGAGCTGTAAGGAGAGCCTGAATAGGCTGGAGCTATTTTCCCTGGAGAGTCGCAGGCTAAGGGGTGCCCTTATAGAGGTTTATGAAATCATGAGGGCGTGGAAAGGATGAATACACAAGGCCTTTACCCCAGGTAGGGGAGACCAAAACTAGAGGGCATAGGTTTAAGGTGAGAGAGGAAAGATTTAAAAGGGACCTAAGGGGCAATTTTTCCAGGCAGAGGATGATGTGTGTATGGAATGAGCTGCAAGAGGAAGTGGTGGAGACTGGTACAATTACAACATTTAAAAGGCATCTGGATGGGTATATGAATAGGAATGGTTTAGGGGGATATGTGCCAAATGCTGGCAAATGGGACTAAATTAATTTAGGATATCTGGTCGGCATGGACGAATTGGACCAAAGGGTCTGTTTCCATTCTGAGTAGCTCTATGAGTGTGTGACTCTATGACTTCTGGAGCAGGTGCAGCTTGAATGAGGGCCTCCTGATCTAGAAGTAGGGATACTACCAGCGCAGTATAAAACACTCCCCCAACCATCAACTATTAGTCTGAACACAAGGAGTGAGACCAATTGACTTCAGTGACCAGCAGTGGGATTGTAGAATCCTGTACATGCGCAGACAGAAATGAAAGTGGGACTGACAAGAATTGACATAGAGTTTTCTTAAAGAATATTAGCTTTCTGTGACCGTGTCTGTTGGCGAATTGTATAACCTATAACTGCAAATTGTATTATATGCAATTTTATTTAATGAAAAGAGCAATAATTGGAGAAGAACAATTGCACTTAGTGCACTGGCCAACTTGTTGTAATGATGTGACTTCTGCCTCTTCTGTAAGGGCATTTATTTGCAGTCTGTGGCAGTCATTTAAATACATATCACTTGAAACCACCCTGCAGACTTTTGCTGTGAAATAATTCTTGACATCCTAACCTGCTTACCAAAATCAGAGTCAAAAAGAGATTTGAGGAGAGGGATAGTAGGAACTGCAGATGCTGGAGAATCCGAGACAACAAGGTGCAGGGCTGGATGA